CATCGACGTTTGTCGTGTTGGTTACCGCACGAGAAGGTCGCTGGCGGGTATGAACGGGTAATGCTCAACCAGTTTTTATAACTGGGCGAGCCTGCTTTTCATAATCTCCTGAGAATAGAAGAAGTCGGTCTCCCTAGTTCCAACCGTATAACTCTCACTGTGCATGGCAGCCAACGCCGCTTTGCGAAGTTAAAATTCGTTTTTTTGCATTAGAATGGCTCTGTCCATACAGTACAGCGCCCTGGCAGGGGTACAGGGAAATTTTTCTGGAATGGTTTGCCGTTTCTTAGCTCAGTATTAATCTGTCATAAGGGTCGACGACGTAGACAAATGAATTCCGCATAAACATGGTTGTTAAAGGCGATTTCACACATGAAATGATACCTAATTAATTACCATGTAAAGGGCTAGTCAACTGTTCTATAAATCGAGTAAAATACCAACCAATTCAAAAAGTTGCATAGCCCGCTTCTCATTCCCTCATGACTGCCAATACCAATTCAATTAAATAATCATATTAGTGTCAAAAAAATTTATTTTTTGTTTTTCGTACCGCTAATCAGACAATATAGCAGCCTTGCATTGCGAATGACTTTATGATTTGCCATCTTTATTATACCGCTTCTGCTGTGTCCTCTTCAAGGAGTCCATTACTTTTGTTGCACGTCTTGCAAAAGTTCTGTTTACTAGAACATATGGCTGGACAGTAGTAAGTCCTTCTGTCCAATTCCTGGAAAAAAATTTTAATAATTTGTACTTAAAAGAACACTTTGTCGTACTCTCGGAAAAGCAAACAGAATCAATGCATTCAATTCAATCTATTCCCGCATAACTTTGCGTAGTTACCCATCTTTCTCCTTTCTGATGCAACTCAACTGGCTTTACAACACAATGTTTTGGTATCATCGACGAATTTCTCGCCAGACAAACAGACTTCTGGAAAGAACCTACAAAACATTTTTAACTTGTTTATAAAAAGTAGCAGCTGACATGATTGGAACTTTATACGGTTCAAAGAAAGCGAAGCGAGTGGTAAGGGGACTGATGTGAAATCACAGTAGCAAACAACAAAAATGGAATACTGCATGCTGCTAAGTGGTCAAAGTAACTTTCGAACAGTATCGAAAGACGCTATACTTCTGACATAGTAAATTAATCAGGTCATGGGATCAGACGATGCCAGCAAACGGGGCAATCTGGCGATCGATATGAATGTATTTGCGTCCTCTAAAATGAACATATGAATTGGGGGATTGCAACAATAATCATTCGTGCAACTAAGTACGAAAACTTATTTCAAACAAAAGAATACCGCGGTGTCGCTCATAAGCTGGACCCATATGCATACTAAATTGGCCAAAAAAGCAGTACGAAAAGATTAATTTGACATGCAATGCTAAATGGTGATTATTCCGTAGATGAATTTTGGCTCGTATTTCACTGGCGCTCTTCAAGGTAGAGCAGTCAGCTAGGTTCAGTGCTATTAAGCATGGCTTACAGCAGCAGTGAACTGTATTCTCAAATGCTCTCTGTGGATTAAACACAAAATCGCACATCTTATTATATCGTGTATACAAGAAACTATCAACAAGCAATTGGAAAGCTGTCATGGAAGCCACTAAAGAAGGTATAATTAACGATACTACTGCAATGAACCAGAAGTTCGGTCGGTCAGTCGTCTTTTGACCCTGAAGGAGAGCACACACGAGAACAAAAAGGCACTTATACTTTCTTTTAAACACGCTTCTCTCACCCTTACTCGAAATGTTGAACCATGGTGCGGACCTAGACACTTCTACAGTTTGGTGTATACCTCCGTGTGTGTGTGTGTGTGTTTGACCATCACTTATAGCAGTTTGGGTAGAGAGAGCTCATCTGCGTTGTGATTTCATCTATATTAGCAGTTTCAAAACACTTTTTCTATTTGGCACTGGCTACTGCATCGTAGTACAAAACTTTCCTATTGCTAAGGCAATCTGCCCTAATACTGTTCCCTCACGTTCCATGCGAACCTTGCGCTCAAAGTCTGTCGTGCTTCGGCTCTCACAGGAAAAGTTCCCGGTCTGAAGTTAATGATTGTGCTCAAGCAGTTTCTCTAGCAGGGCTAACATCCTTTTCGAATTCTACATATCATTTGAGATCGTTTGTCACTTCAAGAGAACGAGGTCCATGCTTACGTTATCCTTACATTTAACCGTCATTATCCATCCAGTCTAAACCCTCTTTATAACATTAAATTCCTGTTCCTGTCTTTTCATAGAGCAACTGTCTCCATGCCATGCAAGAACATCGATCTGATAGAGAAAAGCTGCAGGAGGATTCTAATGGAAGTCACTCCCCGTTTCTAAGCCAATATGTTTTACATATTACTAACAGAACTGAATACCATGTTTCTCTTCCTGATGAATTATTATTGGATGTTACCAACGCGGGAAATAATTGAGCCCAGATATATTCACTTGTGAATCTGTCCATAATGCCATCTAGAAGATTAGGCTTGTCTGTCGAATTGTTCACAATCCTGGACTGCCGTGCGTTAAGTCGGATGAAAGTTTACACAGATGTATTCTAATGCGGTAAAGTGAGAACAGCCCGTTCCCCTTACTAATAATCAGGTCAAAATTATCCGTGTTCTTCAGGTTAGCGATGTACCGCCATGCCAGACACCTTACGTCTACAAGATCACATCATTTTTCAAATTAAGCACTGTAACGAATCAAAAAGTTGACAGTCAGAGAAATAATTGAATCGGAAATATGTTATCCTGCGATCGTAAGAATCTTTGTCTGATACTTCGTCGAATCATTATCTGAGCACCGTAAAGCAGACATCGCCCAGTTATTCTTGCTAGGTTAAGTGATGAGTGATATGTTCTAAAATACAACGCGTAACTAACTTTAACTCACCAAATTTACCTGTTCAATGCAATTTAGCTAGTTGCAAGGGTAGTCACTCGTTGTACAACCCATTTCCGTAAGAGGAAGACGTTTACAGTTGCTACTTGGGAAATAAGCCTGAGAACGTGAGAATGTCGAAATTTCTATGAGAAGATAAGAAGAGAAACCACAATGAAGGAGGAGAAAATCCCTGAAAAACAAAACTGCGAAAGATTTCCAACGTTACCGAAAAATATACCCATCTACGGTAAAGGCGATTCGCAGGATCAGTTTTGGAAGGTGCTAGAAAAACAAGGTCGAATACAAAGAGCAAACCTCTCGTCTCTACATTTCCATATCTGAGGCACTCATTGCCTCCCTGCGCCTCGATTTTCTATCTATCTACAACAGAAACAGGAGAGGGGACCGAAGGTACCCCTTTGGAGAGATGAGTGCAAAAGCTGAAAATCATTGACTTAAAGCGATATACTCTAACACAGAATCTGCTGTCCACACAGGGTGACTATTGGTCATAGATGCGTTTGGAGACACACACTTTGCCGGTAAGAGGGAACTGTTGCATGACAGTGACAATTTTGACAGCTGCTGCGCAAACGACAGACTTAGTCCCGTTATGAAATTCCATACTGTTGTAGTTGCATGAACTGTACAATAATTCACATGGAAACGACTTGGTAGAGACTGTGGGCACAACTCGAAATTTCTCACAGGTAAACTGACAGAAAAGTCATCGTGTGCGATTCACTTTAGATCGAATATTGAAATTATTCAGATATCCAATTGATGATTCTGTTGTTGTCGTTACCGTTGTTATAATCAGAGGTTTTGACCTCTTTAGTGATGTTGCAGGTCGCTGGTAACCATTTCAGCCGAGAGCTCTAAACATGAGCGACCAATATCTGTTGGTGTTTTTTGGAATTGTTTCCTCACCAACCCACACGGCGATAGCACCAAGGTCTTTCTGCCTGAGGTTGCTGCTTCGTGAGACACGGCTATCGTATCTTGTAGTGGTATAGTTCCGTTATATGCAACCAGAGGTCGGGCGACATGATCTGCAGCAAAGCTCACTAGGATACTGTCTTAGTTGGTGCATAGAACTTTTCAGCTATCCATTAACAGATCAGTAGTACTTATATATCAATGTATGCCTTAAGGATGTGTCATTTGCTTCCTATTAGATATCACTAATTTTACAAAAAACTGGCTTCTTCCAATTCATTCAGTTGTGGAAAAAGCTGGAAACAACAATAGCTGTTGATTAACATAGACCCATAGTTCGAAAGGAAGTCGCTTTCAGAAAATAATTACTTTTATGATAATTTGATAATCAAATAATCGTCTTCCCAGAGTAAGAGATATTAAGTGCAAAAATTCATTCAAACTTTTATTTTCACAACTCATTATCAGCTTACAATGGCTACACGCTGCATTTAATCCATTTCTGGAAGGCATGGATATCCATATAGAAGAACATGTCAGTTCCGTCTCTAGTAATTCTACTCAACAAGCCGTATAGTACCTTCACGGTGATTCCGTCTCGAATTTCAGGGCAAACGAGTGGACTTCCAGAGTCGCCCTAAGACAGCATCGCATATAATTCAACATAGAAACACGTTCGCATAAGCCAAAATAAAAATGCATTAAGAAGCGATAAACACAAAAATGGCGATATAAGTTCCGTGTAGCATGGAGGAACTGGTTTCAGATCTATTGCCCAGAGGATAAATTCTAATCACAACATAATTCTACGAATGGAAGCCGAACGAAACACTAAATGCAATGTACAAGTATGAAGGGAATTGTGGCATCCGGCCGGTGGGTTTGAGTTTTTCAGGAAGTTCATTCTCAGCCTCCGAAACACTTGTTGTCTTAGCCCACATGTGTGTAAACGTATTCAGTTCAAGGTGACAGATTTTGCGGTAAGCAAAACTGGATCCGACGAATTTGTTTAAGGAAAAAGATGTTAAACGCATTATTAATTTGCTTAATGTGCAAGGTAGCGTTAATCTCGTTTAGGATGTTTCAAATGGAGCTGACGTTACATTAAACAACGTACAATTGGAGAACTTTTAGATCTGTACATCCTTCAAGTTAAGTATTCCATGCAGCAAAAAAATTGTCTTGGGCCTGAAAATTTGCGGCACAAAACTAACTGTAACACGCAACTTGATCTTTAATCCTTTAATCGAGGTTCAAAAATGTCTCTTGTTTAGGCCAAACCTGCAGATCGTTCATTGAGTTACTATCACACGTAAAAGCCACGCGAAAGTGCGATGAAAGATGAATTAAAACAAAATAAAATCGTACAGTTCAAGCACCGAAATCAGTAGACACGATGAATACATAGAAAAATAGCTATCTTGAGTAGAGCTGCTGAAATGGGCTTCAAAAGGGGAAAATTACAGACATATATTCAGAATTACAGACGCTCAGAAGTAGATCAAAAGAACATTGTGGTGAAGAG